TTCATCCTTGTGTATCTAATGTGCCTCTAATCTAATCTCTTGTGTATCTAATGCCGTCATGGTGTTTATTTCTTGGAATCCAAACTAGCCCAGGGAATTTGTTCATTTCTCCTTGTAATTGTGACAATTCTTGACATATTGTGGGGTACATAGAAGTTCAACTTCTTATATATTCTTGATGAATTGTTCCTATTACTATATACAACAATCCTCCTAATTCTTAATAACACACTTTATTACATATCTATGCCCCTGAACAATACGTAGTATCATTCTATTTTTTTGTTTGTTTGTTTGAGACGGATTTCGCTCTTGTTACCCAGGCTGCAGTGCAATAGCGCGATCTCGGCTCACCACAACCTCTGCCATCTGGGTTCAAGCAATTCTCCTGCCTCGGCCTCCTGAGTAGCTGGGACTACAGGCATGCACCACCATGCCCAGCTAATTTTTGTATTTTTAGTAGAGACAGGGTTTCACCTTGTTGACCAGGATGGTCTCGGTCTCTTGACCTCGTGATCTACCCGCCTCAGCCTCCCAAAGTGCTGGGATTACAGGCTTGAGCCACCACCAAGCCCGGCCTTAATTTCTTATATATTCTTGATGAATTGTTCCTATTATTGTATATAACAATCCTCCTAATTCCTAATAACACACTTCATTACGTATCTATGCCCCTGAACAATACATAGTATCATTCTATGTTTTTTCAACTTTAAAGTTACTGTTTTAAAGCATTCCTCTCCAATTTATGTTTCTGAGATTCACTCATGTAGATACATGGAGTTGGAGTTTATTTATACTGCTTTACATTAATCTGTTGTCTGGATAAAATACAAGGTATTTATCTCCTCTGCCACTGAAGGAAAGTGTTTTGTTTAAGACGGAGTTTCGCTCTTGTTGCCCAGGCTGGAATGCAATGCTTCAATCTCGCCTCACGGCAACCTCTGCCTCCCGGGTTCAAGCAATTCTCCTGCCTCAGCCTCCTGAGTAGCTGGGATTACAGGCATGCACCACCATGCCCAGCTAATTTGTATTTGTAGTAGAGACAAGGTTTCTCCTTCTTGGTCAGGCTGGTCTCAAACTCCCAATCTCAGGTGATCCTCCCACCTCGGCCTCCCAAAGTGCTGGGATTATAGGCATGAGCCACTGTGCCTCGCAGGGTGGCTTAGAGAGCGGACTTGGCCAAGTGTCCGGCAAGGGTGATTCCTTCCCCACCTTAGGTCACCTCTTCCTCATCTTGCCCTCGCCCTCATTCAGTGGCTATGCCCAGCAGTTGGTGGCCCAGGGCCCAGAAGGGGGTTGGAGGAGGCAGGAAGGCTTTGGGGACCTGGGGCCAGGCCCTGACCAAGGGCCTCCCGCCCACTCCCAGGCCAGCTGCTCCTGGCAAGTGTCAGAGTCTTCGTCCCATGGGCAGCTCGGAGATGGCCTGGCCCCATGCTCCCTGTGTGACACACAGTCAGCAGACACTAGGAGGAAAGAAAGAAAAAGGGAAGCCCAGGGGAAGCAGTGACTTGGGCACAGGCTCCCTGCCAGGCAGAAAAAGCCCCAGAACACTTTCCTTTTGCCCCAAGGGAGTTTCCTGAGGAGGGGGGCTTCTGATAAGTGAAGGCTTCAGTCACCTTGGTCCCAGCCGGGCGTGGCGGCTCACACCTGTAATCCCAGCACTTTGGGAGGCTGAGGCAGGTGAATCACCTGAGGTCTGGAGTTCGAGACCGGCCTGGCCAACATGGTGAAACCCCATCTCTACTAAAAATACAAAAAATTAACCAGGCATGGTGGTGGGCACCTGTAATCCAAGCTATTTGGGAGGCTGAGGCAGGAGAATCACCTGAACTCAGGGCAGGTGGAGGTTTCAGCGAGCCAAGATTGAGCCATTGCACTCCAGCCTGGGTGACCAGCAAAGCTCCATCTCAAAAAAAATAAAAAATATAAATCATGGTCCTGAGATCCAAAAGTGGTTTCTCCCCTCCTCTGATTCCATTCTGAAGATGGCGGGCAGGCTGGGGTTATTGTTTGTCAGCACACCCCTGGGAGATTTCTGCTCCTAAAACAGCATCTCACCTGTAGTCCCAGCTACTCAGGAGGCTGAGGCAGGAGAGTCGCTGGAACCGGGTAGGTGGAGGTTGCAGTGAGCCAAGATCATGCCATTGCACTCCAGCCTGGGCGACAAGAGCAAAACTCCATCTCAAACAACAACAAAACACCCAGCATTTCTTCGGTGTCACAGGGCATTTTGCACAGAACAGACCTTCGAGTCCAATGACTGCAGGAAGCCTCTAATTTCCCAGAGCTGTCTCCAGGAGAAAGCTGTTCCCACTCAGAAACTGGATTGTAAATGATATCGGGCGGTTCCCGGAAGCTGCTGAACTCTGAATGCTGCTGAAAATCCGTACATGTGAAATGAAAACAGTAGAAATAGGCCGGGTGCGGTGGCTCATACCTGTAATCCTAGCACTTTGGGAGGCCAAGGTGGGTGGATCACCTGAGGTCAGGAGTTCAAGACCAGCATGGCCATCATGGTGAAACCCCATCTTTATAAAAAAAAAATGTAAAAAACCCCAGTAGAAATCGATACTAGTTGCAATACTAGTAATTTCTGAGCAGAAAAAATAAATGGTTTTATGCGTCTGACTGCGGCTGCTGGAGAGAGAAGGTAGTTTTCATCGGAGGAGGCCCAGGGGAGGGGGAGGCCTTCTCATTCTGCTTCCCTTGGGCCCCTCTCCAGCCTCGGCTTCTCAGCCTGGATGGGACACCCCAGCCCCTTGTCTACTCCTGGAAGCTTCTTATAAAGCCTTCCTGGGACAGGTTCATGCCTGTAATCCCAGAATTTGGGGAGGCCAAGACGGGTGGATCACTTGAGGTCAGGAGTTTGAGACGAGCCTAGCCAACATGGTGAGGCTAAGGAAGGAGAGTCACTTGATTGCGGGAGGTGGAGGTTGCAGTGAGCCAAGATTGTGCCAGTGCACTGCAGCCTGGGCGACAGGACAACACTCCATCTCAGAAAATAAACAAATAAATAGAGCCTTACTGGACGCCTGGACCTTCTTGGTGGGCTCAGCCCGTCATGTTGGAATGTGACTTAGAGTGGATATCAGCCTACGCCCTACGTGGTGAGCACCCAGGACGGGGTCCGGCCCACAGCGGTGCCCTGGAAAGTTCGTTGAATGAGGGAATGAGTGACCTGAAATTCCTTGTCGATCTGGACCCCTGCAGGAATTAGAGGGCCCGGCCTGGGTTCTTTGCTATCCCTGAACCCAGCGCAGTCTGACTCTGACCCAGGTCTGCACAGCTGTGCCATTATCCATCCCAGCCCTGGGGCGGTGGAAGAGCCGGCCTAGCCACAGGGCAACGGGAAGAGAAAGTAAGAGGCAGTGAGAATAGACGGCCAGCTGAGAGGAGAGGGCAGAACGGAGAGGGCAGAGCTTTCCTGAGGCCTGAGGCTGGTGCGGGGGGAACCCTTTGGAAATCCCCTGCAGCTGCCCTGACCCCTGCACCCCGCCTCTGGAACCTCAGTGGGGGCAGCTCCAAGACCAGCCTCCAATTGCTCTGGCTGGCAGAGAGGGTGGTGGGGGGATGGGGTGCCTGGAGGGCCTCGATTTCCGGCTCCTCCCAGTGCCCCTGCTGCCCCTCCCAGAACTGTCACCTCCATAGACTTCCTCCTCTCCCCTTGGGGACCCTCCTTGTTCTCTGTGACTTTCCCAAACCCCCTCCCCTCTAAAGGGACCTACACAATTGAGAGGATGAATGAAGATTAAAGGCAAAACAACCACTTTTCTGTTTTTTTGAGATGGAGTCTCAGTCTGTCGCCAGGCTGGAGTGCAGCTGCAAAATCTCTGCTCACTGCAATCTCTGCCTCCTGGGCTCAAGTGATCTTCCTGCCTCAGCCTCCCAAGTAGCTGGGACTACAGGCATGTGCCACCACGCCCAGCTAACTTTTGTATTTTTGGTAGAGTCAGGGTTTCACCATGTTGGCCAGGCTGGTCTTGAACTCCTGATTAGGTGATCCATCCACCCGCCTTGGCCTCCCAAAGTGCTGGGATTACAGGAGTGAGCCACCATGCCCGGCCTTTTTTTTCTTTGAGACAGTCTCATTCTGTCTCCCAGGCTGGTGTGCAGTGGTATGATCTCAGCTTACTGCAGCCTCTGTCTCCTGGGTTCAAGCGATTCTCCTACCTCAGCCTCCTGAGTGGCTGGGATTACAGATGCCTTTCACCACACCCGGCTAATTTTTGTATTTTTAGTAGAGACGGGGGAGTTTCACCATGTTGGCCAGGCTGGTCTCAAACTCCCGACCTCAAGTGATTCGCCTGCCTCAGCCTCCCAAAGTGTTGGGATTACAGGCGTGAGCCACTGCACCTGGCCTAGAACAACTGCTTTTCTATCAACATCTCGCTGTTTGCAAAGTGCTCTCACTTCCATTACTTCCATTGTTCTTCACTAAACCCTTATAAAGTGGGTGTTTCGCCCCCATTTTGAGGATGCAGAAACTGCCCCCCCCATTTTGAGGATGCGGAAACTGCCCCCCACTCCAACGCCTGAGGAGACAAGGCTGGGGTGCAAACTAAAGTGAGCTCACACCAGATCCCTTGCCCTTCCCAGGAAAAGGCGCTGACCCTCCAAAGAGGAAGGAGAGGGGAGGGAGTGGGGAGGAATGAAAGGTTGTGGGGAGGAGGAGGAAGGGAGGGAGGGAAGGTGGGGGAGGAAGAGGGGAGAAGGAAGGAAGAAAATGGGAGGGAAGAGGGAGAAGTGGGAGGGAGGGCAGGTTGGGGGTAGGAAGGGATGGAGGGAAGGAGAGAGGGAGGAAGGGCAGGCGGGTGGGGGAGGGAGGGAAGGCAGGTGGGAGGAGGAAGGGGGAGGTGGGAGGAGGAAGTGGGAGGAGGAAGGGAGGTGGGAGGAGGAAGGGGGCAGGTGGGAGGAGGAAGGGGGCAGGTGGGAGGAGGAAGGCAGGTGGGAGGAGGAAGGAGAAGTTGGGGGAGGGAGAAGAGTAGGGAGTATCAAACCTGTGTCAGACTTGAGAGGTGCTTCCAGCCGTTTCTGAAGTGTGAAAGCAAGGGTCGGTTCAAATGCACATTTCCTGGCCCTGCAACTCTGTGGGGTGGAGCCAGCGTCTGCAGATTAGTGGCAGCCACACACACCCTCTGCCCACGGGAGACGGAGGCTCTGGTCTCACAGAACCTTGGAACTGTGGGCGAGGAAGCATGAATAGGCTCATGGGAAGCTAATTGCTTCCTTAATTGGCTGAACCCACGCTGGGGAGCCCTGCCCGGAAAGTCCCGGTTGCTGGAGGGATGGGACTGGTTTGCCTGGCGGCCAATAGCGGGCTCCGCTGGAGGCTGCCCTGGAGGAGACAGTGCTGCGGTCCCAGAAGAAACAGCCCGAGGGGAAACGGCCGGGCTCTCGGGGTGCCCAGGAGGGGATTTAAAGAGGCGAGTTGAGGTCCCGCAGCCGCCACGCCCTGCACCCCGTACCCACCGCCCCCGCCGGCACATTCCTGGTTCTGCCTGCACCGGAGCCCCCCGGAACCCCCACCGCGCTATCCCACGGCCGCTCAAACCTGTCCTGATCTTGCTGGACGGTGGCCTCAGGGCAGCCCGGGACCCCTAGAGGGGGAAAAAGGGTGACGGAGAGGAAATCTCAAGTGAGCGTGTTCCCATATCTACCACCAGGTGGCACCATCAGCACAGGCCAACCCTGGGGCCGTCCTGCGTGGCCAGGAGGGGAAGGGGGTGGCACCGTTGATGGGGGACTTGGTGGCTCTGGGGTCTGAAGTCCGAGGGCCTCCTGGTTCTGTGCTCGTCTCTTTGAGGGGCACGGTTGTGTCAAGGGCCTGAGCCTCCCAGAACCTCGGCACATGGTGGACATGGTGGAATAAATGTTGAAAATTGTGGCCGGGCGCCGTGGCTCATACCTGTAATCCCAGCACTTTGGGAGGCTGAGGAGGGTGGATCACTTCAGGTCAGGAGTTCGAGACCAGCGTGGCGAACATGGTGAAAAATCTATTAAAAATACAAACTAGCCAGGTGTGGTGGCATGTGCCTGTAATCCCAGCTACTTGGGAGGCTGAGGCAGGAGAATTTCTTGAACCCAGGCAGAGGTTGCAGTGAGCCTAGATCTCACCACTGCACTTCAGCCTGGGCGATAGAGCAAGACTCCATCTTAAAACAAAGCAAAAGAAATTGTGCCACCTTTGGGTTTTTTTGTTTGTTTTTATTTTTGGAGACAGAGTCTTGCTCTGTCACCCAGGCTGGAGTGGCTCACTGCAACCGCCTCCTCCCAGGTTCAAGCAATTCTCCTGCCTCAGCCTCCTGAGTAGCTGGGACTACAGGCCCACGCTGCCACGCCTGGCTATTATTTTTATTTTTTAGTTGAGATAGAATTTTGCTGTGTTGCCCAGGCTGGTCTGGAACTCTGGAGCTCAGGCAATCAGCCTGCCTTGACCTCCCAAAGTGCTAGGATCACAGGCATGAGCCACTGCGCCCGGCCTCACCTTTGTTTTCTGTTTCTTCCACATCTTGAAGATTCCTTTTGGTGTGGCAGGGCTGACCTCCGAAACTGAGCGTAGCGGGGAGGTCTCGTCAAAGCGTGGTATGTGTCCACTAGGAAAGCCCGGTCCCAGGTGTGCCTCCAGTCCCCTCTGTGACCCCGAGCAGGTCATTCACTCTGTTTTCCTCTCTCACTAAATAGGTCAGATGAGGGGTATAATAGCTGCCCTGAGTGAAGGACCGGGTGAATTACAGGCGAGCACAGTGGTTAAAGCCAGCTCCCGGGAGCCGGGACCCTGGTTCCACTGCTTCCTCACTGTGTGGCCTTAGGCAAGTGTTCTCTGAACTCCAGTTTCCTCATCTGCAAAGCCGGAGCAGTCACAACACCTCCCATACAAGGTTTCTGTGAGGGCCGAAGTACATGAAAAGCCTTTAGAACTGTCTGGCATCAAACAAATGCTTAATAGCCAAAAATACAGGCAGCTGGAACTGAGAGGGGATTCTGGAGATGGGCCAGGCCAGGCTTCCAGCCCAGGCAGCCTGCGGGCAGATGGCCTCCAGGTGGGTCTGCCTGCCTCAGGTGGAGTCAGCACCACCCAGCTACAGGGCCACTTCGAGGCACAAGAAGTCCCCAGAGGCAAACCCAGCTGCTCCTAGGACGGAGGCTACTCTTTTTGAATGTGGGGTGTTTGAGAGAGAGGATGAATCAGGCCCTCAAACCCCAGGACCCTTTCTTCCTCAGCTAAGCCAGCTCAAAGCATCATTCCAAGGGGCCTCCTCCTGCAGGTCGGCTCAGCTCCTCTTGGTGCTGGAATCTTTGGGGAGGAAGGAAGTGATTTCCACAGCTGAAGCGGGATGCAGGGGAGGTCCCCTTCCCACTGTACCTCTGCTTCCTGTGCAGAACAGAACCAGGAAGAGCTCAGGACCTCACCGTGTCCTGGCTGGAGGCCCCTGAGCCACCACTTGCTCACTGAAGCATTTGAAAATCCTGGAGGGAGGCCGGATTCGGGGGCTCATGCCTGTAATCCCAGCACTTTGGGAGGCCAAGACAGGCGGATCACCTGAGGTTGGGAGTTTAAGACCAGCCTGACCAACATGGAGAAAACCCCATCTCTACTAAAAGTACAAAATTAGCCAGGCGTGGTGGCGCATGCCTGTAATCGCAGCTACTCGGGAGGCTGAGGCAGGAGGATTGCTTGAACCCGGGAGACGGAGGTAGCGGTGAGCTGGGATTGTGCCATTGCACTCCAGCCTGGGTAACAAGAGTGAAACTCTGTCTCAAAAAAAAAAAAAAAAAAAATGAGGCGCCTGGATGTGCTGCTGTTTTATTTCTATTCCCCTCTTGGCTCCTGAGGAGGATCAAGGCCAGACACGAGGCCCGGATGGCATAGCCAGGGCTGCTGGGCTCCTCGACAAGGCCTGTCCCTGCCTCTCCCTCAGAGGCTTCGTGGCTGCAGAGTGCCTCAGAAACTCGAAGTGAGCTGGGACCCTCAGCCACCTCTTGTCCAGTTACTTCTGTGCTCTGCAGCCCAGGGCCTGCCTGGGGAGGGTGCAGGTCTCCTCCCACCCTGCCCCTGGAGCCTACCCCTCCCCTGAGGCCTCCTGTGCACCAGCGCAGTGTTGGGCACCTGCCTTCACATCGGGCCTGGAGGAAGGCCTCTCCCTGCCTTATGCTCAGTCATCTGTCCATTCATGCACCCCCTGGCCAGGCACAAAGAGGAGAGGGGAGGAAGACAGATAGGCAGCTCAGGCAGGCGAGCATGGAAACCAGGTGTGCAGCAGGCTAGACCCAGACTCAGAGCTCCCAGGAGTCCGTGGTGCAGAGCTGGAGTGTGGAGGGCACCATCACAGGCCAAGGGGCTTGTTGCCTGAGAGGCAGGGGCAACGAGCTGGCACCAGGGCAGGAACAGTGGCTGCACTGCGTTGGAAGAGCAGGCTCCCATGTTCCAAGGCAGCTTGGCACTTGGCTGCTTCCCGGTGCCAACTCATAACAAGACTTGTGGAGGCACAGACCAATGCTTTTCCAATGCTCCCTGTGTGCCCCGAGGCATTGACATCAGGTCTATCACCATGGCATTGAGGTGCTTAGACAACCTGCTACCCCCGGGAGCCGGGAGTAGCATGAAGCAGCCAGTCTGTGTCTCGCTGTGACATATGCGAGCATGTATCACTGTGATGGATCAACAGTCAATATCACTCAGGTCCTCGCCCACCCCCTGCACGGTCGGAAACGTCTCCTGTTCTTACGTCTTCCTCCCCCCGTGGGCGGCCCCTGCTCTCGCCAGCCTCCTGTGCTCTTGGCGTTGGTGGAAACGTCTTTCTGCTTTTGTTGTCCATGTTTGAAACGGCCCAGGGAAAAGCATTTGTGTAAAGAACTGAACTGGCCCTCCTGATGTCATCACTGGGGGCTGCAGCCAGGCACATCAGAGCAAGCGGCAGCAGGGTGGGAGAAGGCTCGGGCATCATGCAGCTGGCAGTTCCAATGCCCGCCCCACAGACCTGCCCTGATCCTGGGCAAGTTGTTTTGCCTCCTGGGGCTGTGGTCTTCTCTTTTGTACAACTGGGATCATATTTATCTGGTGAGTGAAAGGACACCGCCTGCGTCCTCCATGTATCAGGTGCCTCCAGCTCCACCACCCATCACCACACCCCAGCCCCTTTCCTCTGTCACTCCAGGCACGCAGGCAGGTGTGTGCGTGCCCAGTGTGCCAAGGGTGAAAGGCTCTGAGTCTGCTGGGGAAGGGGGTCCCGGCAGCAAACAATTCCTGTCCCAGGCTGATGCTGCTAGAGAACAGAGGCTGTGCCCTGCAGCCAATGGGGAAGCAGAGCACGTGTCTCACACTGGGAGATTGAGTGAGCTAAGGTTTAGGGAAGCCACGGGGAGGAGCTGATGTTAGAGATGAACCTGAGAGGAGGCATCCCCTGGCCCTCTGCAGGGGACCCGCAGAGACCCTTGCTGGGCAAATAATGGGCAGCCTGACTTTCACACCCCCTAGGTGTTTGGCCCTCTCTGGGGCTTGGAACAGGAGGTGCCTGCCCTCCACCCCAGCCTCCCTACCAACCCCCACCAAAAAACGTGATTAAGGGATTCTTAGAATATTCTAGACAAGTTTGTGGGAATATGCTTTTGGTCATTTTAAAACTGTTTCAGGCCAGGTGAGGTGGCTCACGCCTGTAATCCCAGCACTTTGGGAGGCTGAGGTGGGCAGATCATGAGGTCAGGAGTTCGAGACCAGCCTGGCCAGCATGGTGAAACCCCGTCTCTAATAAAACTACAAAAATTAGCTGGGCATGGTGGCACGCACCTGTAATGAATCCCAGCTACTCGGGAGGCTGAGGTAGGAGAATCGCTTGAACCCGGGAGGTGGAAGTTGCAGTGAGCCGAGATCACACCACTGCACTCCAGTCTGGCGACAGAGTGAGACTGCGTCTCAAAAAACAAAAGCATATCAGAAGTGAGAGGCTAAACCAGGGCCTGAAGTTACTCATGAAAATCCCATGACCCTTCTGCATGGCCACCAGTGTCTCTTGGACAGGGCCGCAGCTGGAAAGAGCCCGAGAAGGGGTGAAGCCCCCTGGGGCTTGGACTGGGTCCCCACTCCCAGCTCTTCTTCGGGCCGTGTGGCCTGGACCAGTCTCAGTGGCAGGTTCCTCATCTGGCGGTCACTCCTACTGGGCTGTTCCTGCTTTGCTTCTGAGCAGAAGGCTGGGGCTGCCAGGGAGGAGCTTTGTGGGGAAAGCAAAGGGGAAGCTGTCAGCGCCAGCCACCAGCTATCCCCTCCTGTGAACTAAAGAGTCGCCTTGGACAGGCAGGCCCCCGGATGAAGAGCCAGCCTCCGACGTGGTGGGCACTGCCCGGCTCCGCATGCCCTCCTGGGCCCCCCACGCCCCCCCAGCTCCTCCTTGGCCTGCTGCTGTTGCCCCGGACCCTGCAACTGGCAGGTATAGCATCCATCCTTCTCCTCTCTACTCTCTCGCTCCAGAACATCAGAGCGGCTTTCATCCAGCCCCGCGCTGCTAATTCCCAGGGACCTGTCTCTGGGGATTTGCTGGTTGTCATTTGAACGCTGCAGACTTCACAGGGGAAGCCTTCAGGGACTGAGAAGATGTTTAGCTAATGCCTCACCAAGGTGGCTTTTAAAGGGGCGGGGGACAGCTTCCCCACCCCCCACAGTCTGGCCTCCTGGCCCTTAAACAAGGAGGGTGGGTGCTGTGTGGCTGGCGTCAGGAGCTCGGGCAGTGGGGAAGGACAGCTCCCCACATCTCATGATGCTGCTGATGCGGTGGAGCCTGCATTGAATCTAGCAAGAGGTGGGGCTGCCCTCGGGGGTTGTTGCCAGTGTTGGCCAGGGAGAGAGGGGGATACCAGGGCCAGCGACCAGGAGCTGTGCCCAGAGGCACAGAACTGTCAGTCACTAGAAAATGTGGGTGAAGGGGAGGAAGGCAGCAAAACACACTGCCATGTGTGTACCTATGCAACTGTCTTGCATGTTCTGCACATGTACCCCAAAACCTAAAATGCAATAAAAAAAGAAAAAAAAAAGAGTAACTAAAAAAAATAAATAAAAATTTTAAAAAGAAAAAAGAAAGGGACCTCCCAGTTCCTGAAATAAAGTAGAGGCTGAGTGTTTCAGGATGTGAGCCTTTCTGTGTGTCTTTCTGCGCCAGCGGCGCTCCTTTCCTGGTCCCAGGCTCTCTCGGAAGCGGATGGCCAGAATCCAAGCCAGGCTGTGGGGTAGGTGGCCTCAGGGCCAGTTCATCAGGCCAGGGAAGGGCCAGGAGGCTCCCATTCCAGGGATGCCAGCACCAGGGCTCAGTGAGTTCTGCCAGATTCTCTCTGCCCCTCCTTGGCAGGACAGCAGCCAACCCTCCCTCTGGCCAAAGGGTGGTCTCCACTGTGGAGACCAGCTGCTTTTCCTTCTATTCTCTTAGAGTTGATGAGGCTTCCAGGAGCTGCCCCATCTGTCCTGCTGCACCCCCTCTCACTACCACGAATTAGCCTTTCTGGGGCCCTTATCAGGGCAGGCACTGGCCACCCTCACAGCACCCCTTGGGGCCACTATTGTCCTCACCTGCACCATTTTAAGGACAGGGAAAAGGAAGCCCAGGGAGGCCAGTTCATTTGCTCAAGGCTGTTATAAGTAAAATTTTCGGTACCACGAAAGAAGTAGCACTCGAATATAAATTTCCTCAGCGAGGGTGCAGCTCGGCCGGGCGCAGTGGCTCACGCCTGTAATCCCAGCACTTTGGAGGCTGAGGCAGGCGGATCACGAGGTCAGGAGTTCAAGACCAGCCTGACCAACATGATGAAATCCCATCTTACTAAAAAACAAAAAAAAATTTAGCTGGGTGTAGTGGCACACACCTGTAATCCCAGCTACTCGGTAAACTGAGGCAGGAGAATCGCTTGAACCCAGAGGCAGAGATTGCAGTAAGCCGAGATCATGCCACTGCACTCCAGCCTGGAAGACAGCGAGAGGCTTGGTCTCAAAAAAACAAAAAAAAAAAAGAGTGTGGCTCACAGGTGGAACAACAATGAGCACACACACAGATGAGGAGGGAAGAGGTACTTATGCCTGACACAGATTGCTCTACTGCTGCGTCATTCCCCTATTAAACCCCCTTTTATAACAAGGCCTAGCTGGTAAGTAGAGGCCAGGCTCAGCCCCAGGTCAGCCTCAGCCCCAAGCTGGGCCCCTCAGCCAGTGGGCTCAGGGGCTCCCCTTACCTTTGCAAAGAATGTTCTTCCCCAGAAACTTGCCCTGGGGAGGCAAGGGCTGACCTGTGTGAACCTCCCCAGGCTGGAGCCAGAGCCCTAGGACACCACATCCTTTAATCCTGTGCCCCCGCCCCCCAGCCCACACCACAGACAGTTGGTGCAAACATGTCCAGACCTGGGAAAAGCAGCCTGTGGGTGTCGATGTGTCTCAGCTCACTGTCATTTTTAATTTAATTTCTCCCCAATTCCCATCCTTTCCCTTTGTGTGGTTCGTCCTCCCCAGAAGACACCCAGCGCACCCTGAGGAAAAGATACCCAGCGTTACTGAGGAAAAGCTCTTCTGTAACAGTCTCAACTACAAACAAAACCAGATTCCCAGCACCACCTGCTGCCACCCAGTATTACAACAAACTTTATACGAAAGAGAACCTGTTCGTTCACAAGAGGTGAAAACACCCTTATGGTGTCCTAGAGTCCCTTGGAGCAGCAGACAGCCCCCACCCACTTTTTTTGAGATGGATTTTCACTGTTGTCACCCAGGCTGGAATGCAGTGGCATGATCTCGGATCACTTCAACCTCCACCTCCTGGGTTCAAGTGATTCTTCTTCCTTTGCCTCCCAAGTAGCTGGCACTACAGGCACCTACCACCACACCTGGCTAATTTTTGTATTTTAGTGGAGACAGGGTTTTACTATGTTTGCCAGGCTGGTCTTGAACTCCTGAACCCAGGTAGTCTGTTTGCCTCAGCCTCCCAAAGTGCTGTGATTACAGGTGTGAGCCACCATGCCTGGCCTGTTTTTATCTTTTTGTGGTAGGGTCCTCTGCTCCAAGGCTGGAGTATAGTGGCACAATCTCAGCTCACTGCAACCTCTGCCTCCCTTGCTCAAGTGATCCTCCCACCTCAGCCTCCCCAGCAACTGAAACCACAGGCATGCACCACCATACTCAGCTACCTTTTGAATATTTTTGTGGCTACAGAGACTCAACAATGTTGTCCAGGCTGGTCTCGAACTCCTGACCTCACGTGATCCACCTGCTTTGGCCTCCCAAAGCGCTGGGATTACGGGTGTGAGCCACTGCACCCAGCTCCTGCACCTGCTCTTGGTCCTACCCCTGTGCATCCCCCTTCATCCATCTGTCACACCACACCACGCCCCCGTCTTCTCCCCTCAGAGCTTTGAGGGTTTGCTGGAAAGAATCTTGCCCCTCCCACATCTTCCAAACCTCCCTTGACCATAACCATCAGCCTTAACCATCAGCCTGGCAAAAACTGCCGCCTGCCAGTACCGACCCAGCTTGCACTCTCAGCTTCGTCCACAGAGGGGGTCACTGAAGTCTAGTGTCCCTGATTCTGCACCGTCTCCCTGGACTGTGATAGGATACTGGCTTAGGAATACAGGCCGGGGCATTCCTCTTTAGTTTGATTTTTTTTTTGAGACAGAGTCTGGCTCTGTTGCCCAGGCTGGAGTGCAGTGGCACCATCTTGGCTCACTACAACCTCCACCTCCCGGGTTCAAGTGATTCTCCTGCCTCAGCCTCTCAAGTATCTGGGATCCCAGGCACCCGCCACCACACCTGGCTAATTTCTGAATTTTTGGTAGAGTCAGGGTTTCACCATGTTGGCCAGGCTGGTATCAAACTCCTGACCTCAGGTGATCCGCCCTCCTCAGCCTCCCAAAGTGCTGATATTGCAGGCGTGAGCCTCTGAGCCTGGCCCAGTTTGAATTTGAGCTCTGCTACTCACCTAGGCGCCCTGGGCGGATCACTCATATCACTATGCCTCCTGCTAAATGGATGTGATAGCGCTGCCCACCTCATGGCACATCCTGAGGACTGAGAGCCCAGCATGTGATTAGAGCTCAGTGAATGTCAGCCACCTGCCAGCCTCGCCAGAGCCGTGGAGACTTGAGATTGATGAGCCCAGGGCCTCCAGCTCATCCAGGGTGCCGCTCCTGCTCCCAGCCATCCTCCTCCGCCCAGTTGAGTCAGGACTTGGGCCTGCCCTCTGGCTTTTTGATCCCTCTGCAAAGTCTGCTTTTCTCAAAGGCAGCCACTGGTGGTGTCCCCAAGAGGGGAATTGTTGGGGGCTTGGCTTTTCTGGAAGCAGCTGCAGCCCGGCTTCCGTGGGCCTCCGTCCTCCCTTTGAGGCTGGACAGACCTGAGTCCCAGGCTTGCCTTCTTCTGGTGACGGCTGTGGGACCTCAGACAATGACTTAACCTCTCTGCACCTTAGTGTCCTCTGCAAATGTCAGTCCCCTCTCTCTTTGTGGCCTTTTCAGAACTCTGGGCTGTATTTATCTCTCAAATATCCATTGAGAAGGACCGGTTCTAGGCACCTGGAGTGGGGGAACCCAGAGGTGAACAAGACACAGGCCCCACTCTCAGCCTGGTGGGACCGTGAGCCTCAGTGGAAGTTCCAGACAGGTTTGCTCTGGACCCAGGTGTCATCGTGCTCTTTGTTGTTTAAAAGATGTTCCAGGCCGGGGGCGGTGGCTCATGCCTGTAATCCCAGCACTTTGGGAGGCCAAGACGGTGAATTGCCTGAGGTCAGGAGTTCAAGACCAGCCTGGCCAACCTGGTGAAACCCCGTCTCTACTAAAAATACAAAAATTAGCTGCGTGTAATGGTGAGCACCTGTAATCCCAGCTACTCAGGAGGCTGAGGCAGGAGAATCGCTTGAACTCAGTGGCTGGGCTGGATTGCATTGGTGAGAGGTTGCAGCAAGCTGAGATTGCACCACCGCACCGTGCTGCATGGTGAGCACTAGAAAACAGAAGTCCCAGGTGACTCACACCAGTTCAAGAATGAGAACATCTCCGTGGCTCAGGCACCCCCCCCACCCCCGCAAAAGGTACCCCCATCCCAGCTGGCAGGGCGATCACTTACTGGCATTTCTTCGTAATTTTATCATGAGGACACATCCCTGAACCCTACAGACTAGCTTCGCCTGTTTGTGAACTTTGTGTAATTGAAGGATACGTATGTGTTCTCCTGTGACCCGCTTCTCTCATTCGGCATTATGTTTGTTAAGATTCATCCACTCCACTGTGTGGCTGAAGCTCGTTTTTGTTGCTATGGATAGAGCAAGAATTGAAACCACGCCGGTGGGCTAAACCCAGCCCATTACCTCTCGTATGGCCTGTGAGTTATGAATGGATTTTATATTTTTAAGTGGTTAAAAAAATCAAAGGGAATGTGCGGACTCACGTGGCTTCTAATCCT